GGCGAACCTCTGCCGTCTCTGGAGCCCGGAAATGTGGGGTTTTCCGTTTGTGGCACACTCCGCAGCAATCGCAAGTTGTTGAGCCCTAGCAAAAGCGAGATCTGGTGTGGCGAGGTGTCGCTAAATGGCTTCCTCACTCACCCTACAAACTAACCGGTCACAGAACTTGTACGAAAATTATGTCTACTCGATGTACTGAGCGACACGACGCAGCACAGCAATGTAGTTGGGCACAGACTCGCCGGAAGCACTTGCCGAGTGTGAACCGGTGACCAGTTGCCAACATCCTTAACCCCAAGTCTCTTCAAAAGCGAAGACAAAAAAAAAAAAAAGAGATTGAAAGAGGGGCGTACACAGAGGGTTTACATCCGCGTCAGAAGACTCCACGCTTCATATCGTCCACAAACTCTTCAGCCAACAAGTAGAATTGAGTCCAGCTGCTCTCTAACCTGTTTTATTTCTTCTGATGTTAATGCTGGGTGCCTCCCCTGTTGTTTATGCTCATATCCACATGTTATGTACAAAAGCAGAGGTTACATCCATTCGAACTGTCTGGATTAATGAAAGGAAAAGCACAGCTGCTCATCCGAACAGGTACAATCAAACGTCTGTTCCATGTCCAGGATTTTTGGGTGCAATTTTGAATCCGACACGAGTTCTTAAAACTGATTATCTTGCAGCCGTGTCAGTTTCGGGCTCAATTTCACATTTTGTCACATGCACACACAATTTCACATGCACACAAGTGTGATGTAGAATTCCGACATGGTGCAAATTAAGTAAGAACAGAAGAGGTTTATTCATTGTTTACAATTGGTGTTTACAGCGCAAGGTGTCACAAGTTAAGGCTGTTTCACTCACCTGCAACTGCTTACGAAGGGAATGACTTCAAACCGATTTTAAGCCTCTTGTGACTGACTGGTCAGCCACTGGTCATAAGCTGTTGCAAGTGTGTAAAGCTGCGTTTACATGAATAAGCTATAGTAGCTTCCAAAATTACAGCTTTCATGTGCCTTATACGTTTGAGGCGACATGCCCATTTGCTTTACCCTAGGTCTCGAGAGAAACTATTATTTCCATTCGCGAACTTCTTTTAATGTATATGTAAACTGTTGCTTTTCAGTGTGAACTTGCCATATTGCAAGGGACTGAGGAAATAGCATTCTTTGAAACCAGCACTGCATTGCAGCGATATATTTAATGTGGTGAAATAAAAACTTTTCGAGTTCAAAGTATGCATTCTTGTTTTTTCTCTTCATAGTTCCACTGAGCATGCCTATCGTCATACGAGTGTTTCTGACGGTACTAAGCTAATTTCTTTACCACTTCCCCAATTTGCGGTTCGAGCGTAGAGCAGCTTTTTTTTATTTTGGGTCGGGAGAGCCGCGGCACCGCTAGAAGGCAAGCACGAAGATCTGCGTCGCCGCGAGTAACGGTGATGCGATGACAACGTACAAGCGAAATAAAAATGCTGGCAATACTTCAAATTCAGCTTGTGGGTCGGCGTAAGCGTTCGTGACAACAGAGCATATTTTCGTATCGAAAAAGGCAAGCGTTCATGCATGACATGGTTCACATCCGCCGCGTCGGCGACGAACCTGCGCGGCAAGAATAGCGGCGACATCGAGACCCGACGTTGGAAACCGAAGGCTCGACTTCGGAAACCAGCGGTAGGCGTTGGTAGTAACCTTGCTTCGCTCTTATCAAGCGACGAGTTGAGAACGCTAAGAGAAGTACTTGCGCCTTTTACGCACTCCTGTGCAGAAGCACGATGCGAGACGTCGCATACTGCGGTCGTCGCGTAGTTGCGTCACCAAGTGTTGAGTCCCTCGCGTCACCGCGTTCACAGCGTCTCAGCCGCGACTGCGTCGATCGCGTAGGCTTCCCGTCTCAAGCGTTTCTGGCTTCAGCCGCGACTGCACCGATGATCAACCGTGTAGGCTTCGTGCTTCAGGCGACGGCGGGCGCCATGTTTACCTTGCCACAGCGGCGCGAGTGACGTCATGTCACGTGACATGACAAATTGCCTTAGCGGAAGTGACGTCATGTCACGTGACAAGGGGGCGTGGTCAGGTGCTGTACGGGATATGGTTTGCTTATACGCATACGGGCTTGAGGATCTGACCGGTTCCGAGCGTTCCGAAGGCCTTCAGCAAGAAGGTTTGGCCATTGGGCGGTATGGCAGTGCAAAGTGGCTCCCGTTCTGAACTGATCTTTACCCCGTGCTTGCTGTCGTTTGTGGCCAATGAAGTGTCATGCCGAATTAGCGTTTAATTGCGCAACAGATGCAATGCGAGCCACCCTGGCTGCCCGCTTTATACAGCCTATCCAGAACATGCTTTATTGGCACCCTCTCAAGCTGTCAACACGGAGTGCGGCAGCTGCGAGTGCTCGCCGAGCTCACTACCCCTCCCCTAGTTCACGGCCACTCAAGCGATTAAGGACGTCATGAAGGAGCTTATTTTTGCTTGTTTTTGTAATATTAATTTGCCTACAACTTTTTAAATAAAGCGAAATTCGAGAAAAGTTTCATTAAGTTACTGCGTTCAGCTTTGATACAAATTAAAAACCAGTAAAAAGGTCCTTGCAGGGCTGCTAACGCAACTCCGCTTCATTTTTGGTTTTGAAAAAACAATGCAGTCCTCTTCAGTATTGCTATAGTCGGTTACAAGTCAAGAAGGTAGGAGAAGCTCCTCCCACAAGTGTGATGCGCCCGTTTCAAATCTCTCCGCAGTCGAAAGAAGAGTTCACTGGAAACGCTCCTTGTTCCGCTTCAATGGATTCCCACTTGTCTCCGATCCCACTTTTTAAGAAAGCGACCTTTGTATTCATCGGAGAGGGAACCGAGCCCCTGAAAGCAGCCTTTGTATCCATCGGGGGGAAGCTAATCCCCCAAAGTCGTATTTGTTTCCGTCGGTGGGGGAGAACTCTAATCTCCCTCTCGTGGCTTCCACAATGCTAACTCAAAGTCGAAAGATAAAGCAAATATGTACAGAAAGGCAAGACCCTCCTCGCGCGTTGTCCGCAACGTCACGGAAACGGTGGGACGCTATTGGACGCAAAGGTGGCGGAGGGATATCTGATTCCCTTTGAGGGGCATTTGCCGCTACCTTCTTAACCTGTAACTGACTATAGGAAGACCACACATCAAATATTACGACGAAGTTCTGTCTAAATGTTTCTTAAACGGTCCGGCAAACTTTGCAACTCGCCAAGTTGCCGAAATCGGTCGACTGGAGCGGGCGAATTCAGGCTCAATCAACAGCGTAGTCAAGGCTACGGCATGAGCCAATATTGAGCTAAACGTCATCACCATTGCCCCCTTTTGCTTGTTTTTACTTCTCCGGGCAAGCGTAGCGCACGTCAGCAACGTTACCTCTCGGCGCTCAGCGGTGTCCACGTGGTTGGCGTAACACGCCTGTGCAGCGCGCTTCTTGGGAGCCGTCCGGCCGCCCGCCGTGGTCCCGCCGCCTTCCGCGTCACAACCGCCGTCATCGTCTCACCGTTTGCGATTATTGCCTCTTGGAGTTTCGTCCACATTACATGCACAGACTTGTGCTGCAGTTGTGCAGTCGTCGTCAAATGTCGCAGACACTAAAACGTGGCGAAGATTGCGGCACAGACAACACTTGCACCCGCCCGTCGTTGGGCCGAGGATCACGTGACATCTCGTACCACGTGATGTGATGGGCATGTTCTTGGCGGCCCGAGGCAAATGTTGCCGGACGGAGCCAAAGTTTAGTTTTCAATTTTCGCTAGTGTTTAAAATTAATTAAAAATATATATCTAATTTTTCGCGAAGCAAACGACGTAGTGTCTTTTACTAGGGCTTTTTGATTCAAAATCACTCATTATCCTGAAACTTTAGGAATTGAGTGGAGTTGACCTTGAACTCTAACTCACGGATAATCCAAACTAAACGCAGGACCCATCTTACGTGTTTCTAGGGATGAAACTCCCGTTAATTCAAACTTTGCATTATTTAAACAAAGTTTTGGTCCCCGTCGGGTTAAATTAACATGATTCCACTGTATTTTATCGAAGCTCATTTTAGCAAACACCATTTTAGAGACCCCTGTTCATAAAATCCCCTTTTAGAGAAACCCAGTATAGACCCTTTCCTTGAGGGTGCCGCCATCTTGAATTGTCGTCACTTCCAGTATGGGCAAAAACATTGTTTTGCCGTCGCCACGCCAGTAGAAGACACTTGGGCTATAAGCGTAACCGTCACACATCATCGTTTTGCCTCCCCCTTATTTTTTTACTAGTTACAGGTTGAAACGTTTTAGTATTTTTTCGTCGCCAATACCGGATGTCTATTAAATGGCTGGGGACGAGAGTACACAGAAAAGGTCTATAGAGAAGATGGCAACGAGCCTCCTTTTAGTGAATTTGTTTCTCTAGAAACGCAATAAAGGATTGGGCAACACAAAATTGTCTCTTTCCAGGTTTATGGGGGAGAGTGGAGGAGTAGCCAAAGGCTTGGGTGAACACGCCTTAGTGAATCAAGTGCTAGCCCCTCTTTTTTATAAACAGCATTCTTCTAAATTGATGTTCCCCTTTCTCTAGAGAGCGCTTCAATAAAACGACCATTCTCTAAAACGTGTTGAATGAAATGACATTCAATCAACTGTAGTGAACCCCACTAGGAAAGCTTTGAAAAGAATGGCAGGAGACCACAGGGAGTAAAGAACATCCAAATCTTGAAACATAGAACCTGACGCAACACAAACAAGTGATCGCCGGTTTTCCTCGTAGAGTCCAAAGGCTGTAATCGAAACTTCACATGAGGCTAAAAGTGAAGATCTAGGACATCAATTCAAGCAATAAGATTTTATGCTCGTGAAATACCCCGGATCAATAAAATGTGGAAAAGCACCGATGTCACATTTGGACTGTGTTGCATAGTGCACTCCATCTATACAAATTTCCATAAGATGAATTGAAGCCTCGACAAACACTGTGCGTATGGGTCACCAAAGAAAAAGGGTCAAGCAGAATGGAGAGACTGTAAATGTTTATTCAAAATGCATCTGGTGGTCAGTTAATTGTATTACTCTTGTTTGGACTCTTCATGCATTGCTGATCTTAATGATCAATGTCAAACAAGTAAAACATAAAACGGATGAACTCTGGTCTAGTGCTACCCTAGGAGTCTATGGCCAGTATGAGAGCATGTTGGCCACCCCCAGAGACAAGCAGGGCTTTCTTCGATGAGATGAGCTTCCCAGTCATGACTTTGGGCTCGTGCACATCTTCACTGTCATCACCATGGCCCAGCTGGAGATTGTCGCCAAGGCCCCATGAGAACACCCGACCTGTAACCGGGTGCGGGTGAATACAATGATTAGATCCACTCCTGAAGACTAGATTCCTTTTCTTTTTTTTGGAAAACACTTTAGAAAGATAATATAAAGGGCATACGAGAGATACTGTAATAGTGTCTTTCTCGGTGGAAAGACCAATTAGTATGTGTCACCAAATGCTTCTGCTCCAATACAGCACTAGCAGTTGGGATGAGATGTCTTTGACCCTGTAGTATAACATTTATACTACCAGCAAACATCATTTCAGTAGAGATCCTCACTGGTGCTGCAATCATTTTAATGCATTTCCAAGATACAGGGTTAACATGGCACAGCTCGGTCATGCCATACGTAGAAAAGTGAAAAATGCATAAAAGCCTCATTTTACTTTAAAAAGCACTGTTATACTGTTACTTTAAAAAGCACTGGGTACCTCGTGTCACTCTGGGCTACCATTCTGAAATAAGGAGCACACACAAGGCTGGCAATTTTAACGCCAGCACTTCACCATGGTACCGAGCAAGATTGCATGAAACCGGTCATCAATAGCGAGTTTTGGAAGAGTACCTAAAAGTTTTGCGCACGCAAAGAAATAGCGTCGTCGCCACTGCGCTTGCGCCAAGCCCAAACCGTGTTTTGGATTGGCGCATGGCGACAACATACGCAGAGCTTCTAGGTACGCTTTCCAAAACTTGCAAAAAAAAATGATTTTTTATTTTTTTTTATTTAGGTTGACTCATTTTTAAGTGAAAACACGATTTGCATGGACACAGCTACCAAAAAAAAGGGCAGTTAAAAAACTTGAAAGCTGTTAAAATGCTGGCATCCTCAACAAGGTGCCACATGAAATAAAGTCAAGAACTGCTTCGTGCACTACAAACTTTTTCCTGTAATGACTTTAGTAATGCTTAACTTTGCGATACACATTTTTTGTGGGAACAATTTGGCAAGAGTTCCAAAAAAATGTGAGTATAGTACACCACAGGCATCCTAGATGTTTTTTCCTGCTCCTCCTCCTCCTCCACTCCCCCTTCCCTCCTCCTCCCCCCTCCCTTCCCTTCCCTCCCCTTCTCCCCCCTCTCAATCCCAGGTGGCTGACTACGACCACTACACTCCGAGATCAAAACTACCTGGCAGCGTGCATCCACTCTTCTATGAAGTACTCCACCAGAGCGAGTCTGAACTGAGGCACCCGGATCATAATTTTGAGCTTAATAAAGTTTTGTCTGTCTCTTTCTCTTCCATTTAGTGTATTTCAGCAAGGTGTTAAATCCTTTTTAAGGGCCCAGAAACCACAGGATACCAGCAAAATAAAAAAGCACTGCTCCAAAATATGTATATGACACAACAGCGACGAGGATTGACCTTTCAAAGAGCCCTCTTAAATTCTGTCGTGTTGCGGCGCTTTCAATAACTCGGCACACCCACCTTCCGCAGTGACAGCAAACGAGACGCTGTCTCCGCAGGAAATGTCGACACAGGGCGGCAAGCCGGGCACTTTGCGAGGAGTTTCCTGCTCGGTGCAGTCAGGCCCCAGACCCAGGCGTCCGTAGTCGTGGCGCCCCATGGCGTACACACCGCCTTCCTCGTCCAGCAGCATCGTGTGGTGTTGGCCGCCGCACACCTTTTTCCACCTGCCGAGTGGGCACATTCGGAACATCCCGTAAGCCGCTAGTAAACATCATTACAGTCGACCCTCATTAATTTAAACTCCAGGAAGCCACAGATGTTTGAAATATCTGAAGTTTGAATGATTGGAAATTCATCTAAATATGATGCGAGGCAAAGTAGTGATTTGTTATAGGAATAGCTAAACATACCAAGCAGATTTTTTACGCTTTCATCTACACAGGCCTATTTATAAGCAAGCACACACAGAAAGCATTCGTCAAGTTCAAAGGGGAATATCCATCTTGGCCGAGTATTTTCTAACCGAATGTCAAAGTTTCTTCAAGCCTTTTTGCTAACGTTGTAGTACCATACTTAAACAAAAATTCAGCTGAACTCGTGAAGGTTGTTCCAAACCTTCCACTCGTCCACTTCTAAGCTCAGTTAGTTTTAACATAACTATATGGATTGTGGCCTCAGAAAGTTCAATGACAACATTGGAGTGCCATGTTGTCATTGGAGTTTTTTCGAGCAATATTGACAGCACGAGATATATTCTAAATTCTGCGCGCAAAGTCCATGACTCCACGAGATGGTCATACACTCTCTTTACCTCCGTGTGATGGGCAAGCGGATCCACCTCTCCTCCACGCACCCGAAATGCAGAGAGAAAACAAGTGGAAAGGAAGTGACTACCAACTAAATTGCGTCTCGTGCCGTCAATATTGTACAAAAAGATATTTCCCGTAAAATTAATTTCTTGACAAGCGTGTCCCAACCAGACTGTTTAAAAAAAGCTTTTTTTTTTCTTTTCAATGGCCCATTAAAAACATAGCGGGACAACCAATTTTTAAAAAAATTTGTTTGGATTAACGAGAAGCAGAGTTTTAATTATTTTAAGTCCACTGTATCAGTAGGGTGTTTCAATGTCCTGTTTAGGATGACATTCTGTGTAGTACCTGATGCCGATGGCACGCACACGCTCATTTGGAAAATAAAAAAAATAGGCGGCAACAAAATGCCGCCTTAGCACAATCATCGCCAAGAACTTGTACCGCAAGAAGCTCTGTCCGACGCTCCGAAACAATAAAAAGAAGCTCCACGAGCAAAATGGCTAGATGTCATCACCCCAAGCAAAGCACTCATAAAAACCCCTAGCCATCAGTAACCCGCGACTGAGCATCGGATGACTGGAGGTTTTGAGCACATTCCTCAAATAAAAATAATCTGCGTAAGGGGCAAGCTAGAACATGCTTACTGCAATCTGTCGAAGTGTCTGCCCAAACTCTGCCACGCCAAACACTGTTTCCAACAATACGAAGCAGGTACCAGAAAGAGGTCTGAATCTCACCTGTGCTCCGTGCAGGAGGTAAGCAAAGTGGGCATGAACTGGACTAGATCGCCGCTCGACGTGCTCGCCAGTGACCCCAGCTGGTGGTAATTGTTGAGGCCGAAGCCGTACAAGGCCCCATTGTCCCGCATCCGGGCAAAGGTCACATAGGAGCCCGTCCAGACGTGGTCAAAGGCCGCCGAAGAGCATCCCCGGGGCTTGCTCACCACCACAGGCATTGGCTGGAGCAGGTTGCTCAGTCCCTTGCGACCCCCCCGCGATGCAAAGCAGCGAGCTACTCGGCCCAGCTGTCCCTGCTCGGCGTCCCCCAGGGTGAGCAGGCGGCCGTCCTTGCTCAGCAGCACTAGGTGGTCGTTGCCAGACGCTATCTGCAATGCAGGACCCAGGTGGAATGGCAAGTGAAACTGAGGAGTACCTGGCCACTCAGAAGCAGCGAGCAAACCAAGTTGGTCACACACCATGGTTTGCAATCATGCATGCAATGATGCATGGTTGCAAACCATGCATCATTGCATGGTTTGGTTTGAGTCATGCACCTCTCAGCATAGCTCTCCGCCTAAAAATGCCAGCTTGGAATAACCGTGCCAACCCTTAGTCCCTTTGCTCACTAAGTGGTCAATGACCCTGGTGGTAGACAGAAAGGGGGGCAACAAAAAATGGGAAAACTTGAGGAGTGCAGGGTAGGAATTTAAACGAGCCCAGCTTAGCAGCAAAAAGCAGCAAAGTGTGCTACTCGGGAGCTAGCTGCAATGCCAGAGATGACAATGCAGCCAAACAACTTCGGACCAATGAGGTTGAGAACACAAACGAACTGGAACTCCCTAAAGTTAAGTCAAACTTTGTAGGAACTTGTTTTTAAGAAAGAATAAGAATGATTCTGAATACATTTGAGGTAACAGCACATTCTAAACAAGCGAGAACTGGCTGCATTTCGGCTAGGCACGTGATGAGACAAAGGGACAGTGGCGTCACGAGGGTCAGTGGCAACCAGGGCAATAGCCCGCTGATCACTTTGGTGAAACGACTAGTTGAGGTAGGCAAGACAGGCGGGAGCAGAGACTTCGGCGGCCATGAAAGAATGGCGAAGCTTTTCTTTGTTATGCTATGAATCCAAACGGAAGTACCCATCTTGTAAACCTTTTGTAAAAAAATAACAACTCTCATTACATGGGTTATTCGTTAAACGTAAAAATATGCCGCTCAAAAGGAAATTACAACATATAACCAAGGTTTAACAACCAAGATCTAAGCTGTCAATCAAACTCTTAGCCAATGAGAAGTATAGCAGCCAATTGGGGCTAAACGTCACAGAATACCAACTTTGTGGCGCGCGATTTAAAACGGATGAAATAGCCGCAAACTAAAATTAGTCTCACGCAATAAATACTGCTCTAAATTTTTTTTTTTTTCTCGCGGAAAAATTGCTTTTTGACATGCTTGTCCGTTAAAAAAAAAAAACTTTTTTCTTTGAAGTTACCCTTTAACTGACGACACGCTGCGAGAGAAATCATACCTGCACAATGCCGTCGGCAATGTGCACGGGCTTGGGTTCACTCTTGCCAGCAGCAAGAAGCCCCATGAAGCCGCTGGAGTCTCGGAAGCTTCCCCAGACAAAGACTGCGCCCGACACCGTCAGGGCAGCTGAGTGAGAATCGCCCGCGCTGACGTGTGTCACTGGCTCGGGTAGCTCCACGGCGCCTGGCGTCGTTTCCGAGCCGTCCAGGCTCGACGTCGGGCGTCCCAGGGCACCCTCGTCGTTGCACCCAAACGAAAACACCTGCATTCAGGATACACCCCATGCTCACCGACAAGGGAAAATCATTCCTTGTATGGTAAAATTTTCCCACTATGACGTATGAAATGTATGCTTGGTTACTTCGGTGCGGTGTTGTGCGCGTCCGCCTCAGAAAAGCCGTTGCTTTGTTGCTTTCTGGAAAGCGGCAGTGACCTTGAGCGCGGGCAGTGCAGAACACGCTGGCCTTTTCTTTGTGACGGGCAGAGGGAACGAGGCGCCAGCTCAATAAGCCCTCTCCCCGTCCTCGAGAGAGCTGGACATGGGAACAGAAGGGAAGGGAGGAGGGGGCAAATTGGAAGCATGCCAGTTCCTGCCGGGAGACAGAAGGGGCTAGGCGGACAAAAGAAGGGCAGGAGACAAGAAGGCAGCGCCGGGGACAGCGACGGCCCGGGAAGAAATTTGGCGAGCCAGAAGTAATCGAGAAGGAAGCGCCTGTTCTGGGAAAAGAGACTGCTTCCAGAACGGCCAAGCGAGCCCCCAGGGATCGGCAGAAGAGCCCCAACTTTCGATAGAGTGTGCCTGCCTTGGGACTGAGTCAACGGGCCTCAAACCAACCAGCGGGAACGGAGGGTAATGGTGAGTGGGCCGAGCCAGACATGCAACTCACCCCGCGGCCACATGCCTTGCGTAGCCCGTCACTGTCGCGAGATTGGAGAAGCGTTAATTTTGAAGCGTGCAGAGTGTTAGGGTGATGTGAACATAAACAGATTAATGTCAAAATTTTGGGTGTTGCTGGGACTCGTCAACGACGAGTCCCAGCAACTGTATCTGTGCGCCTCGTAAATGAGGGTTGTCCCACCACTGCTGCTCCAGCAAGCAGCAGTGGGAAGAGGAAACTTGCCTGTCCGGTGCTGGAGAGCAAGAGGCTGTGCATGCCACCAGCCACGACGTCCACTACATCTGTGTGGCCAGCCACCAGTGCAGGTCGGGACTTTTCCAGGACATCAGGCCCCAGGCCCAGTTGTCCCACGTCACCCGTTCCGAGCGAGTAAGCCTGTCCCACTAGCTCCCGCCGCTTTGCCTTGGGTACTGCAAGAATACCATCAGAGATTCGCGGGGTGTGTAGAGGTCCACTCAAGGGGAAGAAAACTTGGTGTTCCTTGTATCACACAAAGTCTAGAATTGATCATAATTTAAAAAAAAAAAAAAAAAAATGCAGACAATGCAGGCAGCATTGTGTCTGCATCATTTGGCTAGAGGCTGGCCAGTGTCTACCTATCCTGTTTCAATTTCTCCCTTACATGGACTGTGCCAGGTCCTTATGTAAGGGGACAGGCAGGTTGAAAGCAAGTTTTTTTAGGCAGGTTGAAAGCAAGCTTTTTTTTTCCGAAAATTGTTGATTTTTTGTTTTCCACTTGCTTAATTATTCTCCGACATTCCGCTTTTACAAGTAAAAAAAAAATGAAAACAATATTAGTCTTTCAAGTTAGGAAAAAAACGTGTCTTAGTGACCCGCGGTGCTCAAAAAATCGCAAGTTTACCGGAATATTCGCTATCTTTGAGGGCTGTCGCTCGGGACCCAGCAGCACTTTCTACACATCTCAGATTCGATTTGTGATAGACAACACTGAAAAGCATGATTTTCGCATTGGTAACTACCAAAGAAAGCAAGTTTCAAGAAAGGTGGCACAAACGCAAGCAGAGAAAGTTTACTGCGACCTGGTAAGCCTAACCACAGTAACGGCGACTGGTCCGACACAATCGATGCTCCATTCACATTTGTTTGCGATGCAGAGAAGATTGCATCCTTTAAAAACAAACATAGAACATGGGACTATGGCTTTGAGAGTCCAGTGATGTGCGACATTGGCGCGCTGATGATACACGTCGAGTAGAGCATGAAATATTACTTTGTTTTATTTAACAAAAAATCATCAATTAGCAAGGGTGATGCTTGTTCGCAAATTGATTTGACTGGCATCTTGTCAAGAACAAACCTCAACAGCTAGACTATGCCAGTTTATCCTGTATAAGAAAATGTTCACTTGGGTAAGCGCAATTTTAAGCAAGATTTTATCTGAGTAAGAAGGTGCTTATAGATTAAAGTCAACAATTTCAATCACTCCTTTCTGCATGATTCATCGCCTGCATCACGGTGCCGAGTGTAAACCATGTTGGTTAGAAAAACAAGCATTATGACTGCCACTTAGTGTTTCTATAAAACACACTGAAAGGGCTTCTAAAACTTTCGTGACATTTTGAAAATTTAATTGCTTTTAGCTCAGTTGCATTGTCATCATATACATTGTGAAACATTTTATAAACCCTAGTTCATGATATATATGGCGACAAGGTGCTCATTTCATCATTTTATGCATTGTAATTAATTCCTTAGTTAAAGGGCACAACCATGATTTAAAGGGGGACACTACCTTGAATTTCACCTTTTTTAAAAAAAAATGCATATTCAGAACTGCAAAGTTTTGGCATGTATGGATAACAAAGAACACTCTCACAAAGTCTTGTCAATGTGCACTGACAAACAATGTCAAAAATAATTATTCTTTATATGTTGGTGAGGTGTGCTGCACTGCGTAGCACTCGTCATTTACAAGTGAAAATAGCTGAAAGCAATGTCAGTATATCAGAAGAAGTTTGAGGAATACATCACCTACACTGGTGGAAAGAATTTCAGACATTTAAGACACAAAAATAAATTTTTAAAACATCATCATGAAACTTCAAGTGCATTTATCTCAGCTTCACTTTTTGGCAGCAAATCCCACATAATAAAACTATTGTTACAGTATGAAACTACCGAGAGACTTAATATTTGTGGATTACATGCCGAAAATTTATCGAGCCGGTTACTATGAACTTAGATTTCGCATTTTCATGTTCCTTTATCACGAATAATTGTACATTGCAAAACTTGGCAAATGTAAAAAATATATATATATATATATATTTTATAATTTTTTTTACCTGAAAAATGCACATTTTCTGAAATTTCTTTTCATAGTAACCGGCAACAAGTATTCCAGTATGAATTCCACCAGAAAAATACGTGGTGATCAACACCATTTCTCAACGATACGATTCATTGAGAAGATTCCACGCAAAGCAATGCTTTACTTTGTTTGGGGGGTTATAGAGCCTCATAAAACTGGTTCACAGGGCTGAAACTTTGGATGTTCTCCTTCTATATGGCTACAAACACCACCTGCAAATTTCACGCCGATTGAGCGAGCGGTTCAAAAGCAGACATGCTCAGGTAGTGTCCCCCCATAACTTTTAACACCGCGACAAACATTTGAACCAATCATGGGTATTTTAGGCGACCTACTACACCTCGCGACCAGATTTTGATTCAGGTAAAATATATGTGACTCTGGTAAACAAAGGGATGTTGAGTTGTATAAACACAATGTTTTGTATGTTAAAAGTATATTTTCTTTTACTGCTGTGTCGAAATTAATTAACGAAATTTTGTACTTTTTGGTACCTGAAAATAAATGTGTGTTGTACAAACAATATAAAAATCTTATGTAGTTAATTGTTTCACGGTGTAAATAGTGTTTATTGGCAGATCAATGCAGAAAATATATTTTCAATTTAGCGGCTCAAACAGGTTAGAACCGGTTTGAACCATAATTTTCGCTTCCCGGAACTGAACTGGAACTGAACCGAATGCCGTGAACCTGAAACACATCAATAAGAATTTCGGTTCGACACTCTGCTTGTGAGCGGTGCGATCTGCCCCACTTGTCATGAGTGTTGATTCTCAATGGGTTCCGGAGTTGGCGGGGCAACGCAAGGGATTTTCATTGCCCCTCAAACTACACTGAGAAGAGCAAGTGCTTCGAGTGGGTTCTTTCTTTCGATGTTTTCATCTAAATGTGACGCATCCGATAGAGACGTAGAAGCACAAAGTGAAGCTATGACAGCGGGAGCCCGCACAAGCTTTGCTGTGAAGTTCTGCGTGAATCTCAAGCTGCTAGCACCAATGCACCACAACACCTTCACTAGCAAGAAAGTTTATGCTGCTGCCATGAAAACTGCCAACCAAAACCTTGTGAAGGCCGAAATTCTGACGTGGGTGAAACATCTAATGTAGCTGATGTCCGACGGCACATGGTGCAAAAGGGGCCAGAAAAGTCGCAGCATACAGTCTGAGACGGGTTTATTGACTTTTTTTTTAATACTCTTCCTATCTTCCAGCCATATTTGATGTCATTTCAGATGATATTTGTAGACTATGCATCTCTTGAACTTTTATATGCATTTTCAAATGCATTTTTCGTATTTTGCAACTTTGGGGTGTCTTCAGTTAGTGCAATCAGTTTTTGGCACTTATAATCTTCCAATAACATTGAAATTTTCTATGTATTAATTTGATGATACATAGAGTGCCAATATCTAAAATTATTTTTTTTTGCAAATCTTGACTTTTAAGTGGCTTCTAAAAAGAAGGCTTCATGAAGTCTATATTTTTTTATTAAATTAAAAATCTGTACGCAGCTTTTGGCTAGATAGTGGCACTCTAAACTTCATAGGGAGCATAATAAGTTGTTGCATCATGCTCGTTGTAAAAAAAAAATTAATGTACTGAGAGTTCACAAAAAACCCTTTATATGTGGTTGTTTCTGACTCTGAACACAAAGCTACATTATAACTAATAAATGTTTTAAAAAGAGAAGACAAAAATTTATAAGTAGCTAAAATTTCAATACTTCAGAGCAATTAAAAAAAAAAAAAGTGTCCCCTAACCTGCACCTTCGGCGGTTTATTGAGCTACCCCAACTAACTACATTTTCGGCACCACCGGCCTTTAGCCTTTCCGGTACACTATTTAGTATCGCGAAATTCATAATAGTTATTGTGAACTAGGCAAGTGAAAATAATGCAAAAAACAACATTCAAATATACCGGCACTTTTCAATGCCGTGACATCAGTGGCAGGCAGGCTTGCCAGTCGAGCAAGCAGTCTAAAAATAGACTGTGCCAGCACGGAACAAGCATCTGTTCCATGCTGGCGTGCGGCTAGTGGAGCGAGCTTCCAAAGCATTCGTTTGACAGCATGAACCCATTTGGAACAAATTCTACAGGCCAAAGAGCGAACCCCACCCTTCCACTAGTGTCACTTTTTCTTTGTGAGAACCAAAACTGTAAATTTAACAACTTTGTAAAAAAATATATATATATTTTGACCTAATAATTAGGATACTATTTCAGCAATGTATGTTGGTGTGTTTAGCAAACTTTCAGGCAAATCGGGGACCATAAAGAAATTGAAGAAGTACCGCTTCATCATCACATCAAAATCACATTTTTTTTTTTTTTTTTATTGTTTGAAAGGATTGAAAACGATGCCTGGACATACCCTCAAAATCCGAAACTTGGGAATTTAGTATTTGTGAAGTAAAAAAACAATTTCCAAATGCCGAATTTGAAGTTCCTGCTTGATCCGCGCCAGTGTAGCGACGTCAATTTTTGAGGGCTCCTGAAAGTCTCTGCTCCGAAACGTGCAGACGTGAAACGCGCCTCTGCTCTGAAACATGTCTCCGTGACCCGAAGCGAGGAGGTGAGAGTGGGAAAAGGGCACCGGCATCGCGTGAATCACCGACCGGGGAACCGCTTTCCTGCGCGAGTGCCGTGCTGCATACCGCTTCGAGCAGACGACAGTGCCCTGGCGGTGTCACAACCGAATCTACGATACACAGACACCAAACCCAGCTGTTTTGACCGTTTGACAATCTCCTTTTCGAAGTCTGAGAGGTCGTCGGGCACCTAAAAAAGACCACTTTGTCCGATTCCCCGATTCCCCGACCACCCTCTGCTGCATGCGTCGAGCGCCGCCATGTTTTCCGAGGGAGGATAAAAATCCAGAAGGCGGCATCACAACGGACTACGATTTTTGGTATTTCAAAAGGAAGGGCCGTAGCGCGTTCACAATTGCGTTAAAAAACATGCTTTACGGTTTTCGTTATTAAATGTTATAAAATTTCGCCTACAAAGCTTCTAAATTTCATGATTCTTGACGTCACGGATCAAAAGAAGCAAGGAGGCGAAAAGCGGGAGAGGAGGGCGGCAAAAATAAAAAGACGCGCGCGTGCAAGAAAATGTTTTCGCGGCGAGTTTTGTTTTGCGTGTTTATGACTACAACGTGCATCGTTTTAGACAATAAAAAAAAATACGACCTTTGGGGTGTCAGTGCCCCTTTAAGGGATGCACTGGGGCAGGAAAAAATCTCATCATTTCCTTTTGTGAAAATGCTTAGTGTATGAAAAGACAGCTGTCAACTTTTTTATTTTTGCATAAACACATTTAGCTCCAACTAAATACTTGAAACCTTGCCTTCCACAGAAAAAAGCTGTTACCTTTAGAAGGGTGCTATCATATTCACTTTCCAATGGTGGGTGGAGAAGGCAGGGCAGGAAAATGGGTTTAGGAAAAGGCACATAGCAGCACTTCCACCCGAACGCAAACTGCTCCTCAGGGTTGTAAAAGTTACTTAAAAAATGTACGTAAGATACAGTTACAGTTACTTATACGAAAAGGTACTTAGGTACGCACCTAGGTACTTGCTTAAAGATGTATGTAGGTACAGGTACAGTTACTTTAAAGATACTGTCTTTATTTATTTTCCCCAAATTTGTCAAAATATATTGGAAGTAAAGCTTTCATACTAAGGATACACTCAAAAACGAGTTCGATAAATGTGCTTTATTGGTGTCAATGCGATGTCCACATCGGTGTTGAGTCCTCACGTGCCTTGTCCTCACGCTCCAATTGGTTCACCGAGACCACAGCTTCCACTGTTTACCATGTCACACCAAAACTGCCGAAACTCGCCTATTGAAGTTCTTGCCCTCAGAGCCGGTGCTGACGCCGACGGGCCGAGAAGACGTCGGCCGCATGAAGAAATACACGAGTCGAGTGCATATGCACCTAACCTTCGTGACGACGAGCGAAAGGCTTCAAGCTTCCTCGTTTTACTTTTTCTTTCGTTAGTCAGAAGAACAATTACTGTTTTGTTTTCTTGCAGAACTTTTTCAGTTTTGATAAGTGCAAAATTTGAGTATGATTTATTGAGTGGAAACTGTATTATATACGCGATGTTACATTGCTTTACGATTGTAATTATAATTTATTTGCAATTTTATTTTATATTGTATTTATGGCAGAACAGTGTCACCACCAGGAGAAGATACGGACAACAGAAGCGGCGCGCATCGTTCAAGTTATCTCCTTCCTTGCATAGCTGTCTGAGGAACTTCAAACACGCAATGAAGTCGATTTCCATTTGAGATGAAGGAAGCAGGTTGCTATTTTCCCTAAACGGAGTTCCGAAGCGATTAAATAAATTGGTGTCACTAGAACGGCATCGCTGATCCACCGTTTGCTCAAATGAACACCTACTTTCACTAAGAAGTGTCGTTCGATGAAACATCATAGGCGGGGCTTCGTTCGCTAAAACGTCGTTCGATCAAGGCAATGCCTTCGATGTCATACCCAACTCAACGTTAATCACGGCACATGGTAGTGTGTTAATACTTCAAGATTTATAGTTTCTATCATTTTGACGAAGTAAATAGAAAAGTACCTGTAAAAAGTAACTTCACTTAGTTACAAGTTACTGGAAAATGTACCTAAGATACAAATACAGATACCGAGAAATTAAAGTACCTAGGTTTGTACCTCAGGTACAACAAAAGTACCTAGATACCAATTTCCAGTTACTTGCACCTAGGTACTTTACAACCCTGCTGCTCGTACATCCCTAGTATGAGGGCAAACGCTTCGTAAATTTCCAAATGCGACTTTCATGTTTACGATTACTTCAGAGATCTGGCAGCTATGACAGGAAACAAGCAGCACTGCAGCGAGACACTGATGTCCGAATAACCGCAAGGCATATAAATCATGCTTTCTGTGTAAGGTACAGTCGCAGACAATATGAAAAAGCACAGAGGAGTGCATGGCTTAGACGGCCAGTAGCGCTATCTGTCGGGAGAAATCTTGAGCATTATTGTGGCTTCAGAGGCCGTTTGATTTTCGTTGTCAATCCCCATTGGACAGGTTGTTGCCAATCAATTATGATTTTGGCTGCCATTGTAGAGGCGTTCCATAACAAACGGCTGAAATCACCGGGTCAGCAAGCAATCAGTTTTCATGCATTTATAAAAAATGATAGATTTCTTCATCTTATGGAGCATGCAAGTGTGATCAAATAAAAAAAAACAGCGCTGAAATCGGCATTGACTCAGCAATCGTTTGCTGACTAAGTGGGGAGTAACAGCAAAAACCTCACAGCTGCAGAAATGCCACTCGTGCACACAATAGCATCAACAATAGCTCAGGTCAGATAGCACTCGAGGTCTTTGGAGCCACACACTCACCTGAGCTTCTTCAAATCGTCTGCGACTGTAGACTCCACTTGAAACAGTGGGGCATTCGAAGCTCAGTCTTACCTTCGAGTCTGGCCTTCTTGGCTTTAGTCTCTTTAGTATCTTTTTTGGCTTTAGAGTTCCCAGTATCCTCGCCTTTGGCAGCTCGTTTCCTCGTCTCCTTCTGGTGCGACTGAAATCGGACAAATAAGGAAACAGTGATAAGGCATTGTGCACCTTATTGCTACCTCTCCAGGGCAGTACAGCACTAAAGGCTAAGACAAGACAGTTCAGTTGGAAAACTATTCATCCACTGTTCAAACCAGTCTAAATGGGAGAAAAAAAAGAAAGGGTGGACAGATTTTTAATCTTATGTTATTGCTGGAGGTTAACCTGGCCTGGTGCAAAAAGCAGAGTGCAGAGTCATGCCTCTAAAACTATCAGAGCGCTTTTAACTCGGTGTCAACACCTCATGTGCCACATTGTCAAAGCTAGAGTAGTTTCACCAAGGCCCCAAAGCTGTCGAAGCTACTTATCTCCTTTGGGTCTTTTTGAGAGACAGCCATACAAGATGCAAGCACAAACCACCAGCTCTCAAAACCGTGAAGGGCTGTAGCACTATGGAAACTACACTAGCCATCATGTCCCCACCCCCAATTTTTACCAATGAGGTTACTTATTTTCCCAGTCTTCAATGCTACAGGCTCCAGGGTTTCTTGGTAGTGATGAGATTAAAGGGTTTCTCGGCAGTGATGTGATTAATCAGTCATTTTGGAGCACTTTTTGGAGAACGTGCACACACACACTTCATTTTCCTCCATACCACTGCAAATATGTTAAAATGTCTACTTTGCTACCTACTTTTGCGAAACCTTTCTGTTAGCGTCAGTTGCACGGCAGGTTTGATTCCCTCAAACATAGAACACGCTGCTTAGTTGTGCGTAGAAGCAAAAATACGGCAACAAGATGCCAATTGATAAATGACAGTATGAACTGCAGTGCACAGTTATTTTCGGTACAGAATCAAGGATAAAGCAAATAGTATATTTCACTGAAATAATTTTGATAGAATAATTTAGCGCACCCATATTGATGTTTTGTTACTTTTAAAGGTTCTAATAAAACCACAATTCTTAAATCAAATAAAAAAACAAAGCTGTTGTATCTTATTATAGAAATCAATAACATTTTACATGTAGAACTTATAAAAATTCCGAGGACACCTAAGCACTTCTTATGAATTGTGAATTCGAAAGCATGAATGCCGTTCTTCCGCTCCCCGAGTTTGTCTGCGGCGTACTGGCGTGGATGGCAACGTTTCACTATTGCACTGATGTGATTGGCCTAAGCCATTTTAGAGCACCTTTTAGAGCAGCCAAAACAGTGTTTTGGAGCAGCAGAAGTGGCCTTTGGTGCAGCCAGAACGGTGTTTCGGAGTAGCAAAAGTGGCTTTTGGAGCAGATATTCTTAGAAAAATAAAAATATTTCTTTTAAGTCGTGGACAAACGAAAGGCACTTCGTGCTGTGTTCTGATGCAACTCGCTGTTTGTGTTTTTACTGCTGAGACATCCCACAAGTGTATTGTAGGTGTTGCCGAGCAATTCCGAAAAGAATGCATGCTACCGTTTTACTGGTTCCCAACGTGCCAGATTTTCCTCAAAAGTAAGCAAACCGTAACAATCTGGCCATGTAGCTGGACCTGAGCTATTATATTTTAAGCAGCGTCTATACTCCCGGCAGTCGCCTCCCATTGGCTGTCTGAAATAATGTGACAACTGCCGGTAGAATACTGACTTTCTTATTGTCCCGACATTCCGCGGAAACACGTTTCATGGACAACTTTTCGTGGATACAAGTTTTGTTAACACCATTTCATCGACACTCGTCATGCAGAATCCCACTAGGGATATTTCGTCACGCGTGTATCCCTAAGGTGTGTTAACATACCCGGTCCACCCGTTCATGCCGCTTCGCGGTGACAGTCTGCAGCAGGTCATAACAAAAATGCTAATCCACCTGGTCCACCCATACACAGAGCTTTGCAACAAGTCTGGGGCGGCTCATTACAAAAACAAAGCTAATCTAAGCAATTGATGAGCCAATGGGAGGCGACTGCCGGTAGAATTTCGGGGAACTTATTCTTCCGGCTGCCGGGAGAATTACCTATATTTTCAGTTAGGAGACTTTTAGCGAATAAGCGCAGATTCTTTAAATGTTGGCAAAATGTAGCAGGATGTAGCAGGGTAAGCGTATTGGCGCAAATAGCGAAGCAATCACATCACTGCCTCAGGGGGGCATGTTCAACAGATGTTTCATTTCTTCTAAAAAGAAATGAAAGTGACAATATTGCGTCCGATTAGTTAGAGGCTCTCTAACCAATCAGACGCGATACTGTCACTTCCGTTTCTTTTTAGGAGAAACAAAACATTTATCGAACGTAGCCCCCCAGGTTTCTTTTTGCTATCGGAGTGACCGTCTCCCACATTTTCTTTGATTAATTGCTTTTGCGCCAGTGAGTGTCACATGCACTGCGGGCCCACAGATTTGATTCCCGTTTCAGAACAAACTTGAAAATATCAGCGAAACAGTGCATGCCGCAGAGCACGTCCAAGATCTAGACTGAAATAGAAGTGTCCGGCATCAATATCACCAGCAGAAATATGCTGGCAGCAGTCACAGGTTATTTCCAGCCAATCGGGGAGAACTGCCGACAATTGTTTCTACGGACTGTTCATGCAAGGATGGAACTGCTGCGCCAATTGCGCCATTGTGCGCCTTTTGACTTTTCATGCGCCACACTGATACAAAATAAAAACGAAATTGTGCCAAGGTGCACCCAAACTGAAATTATAAGTGATCCTCATTGAAATTAGCAGTTTCGCAATTTCTTTTGGCGACATTGACATTGGAACTTCCGGCCCAAAGGAAACGCCAGTGGATCCAAATCCCAAGCTCTGTATCCAAAAGTTGCTGCCACAGTGGTCACTGCCACAGTTATAGATTTCGTTTCAGCTTACGACAGTTGTTACAGCATCCCCCATTGCAATGTTCCTGCTACCGGAGGCTCTAAACTCGTCAAACACATAGTTATGGCTGAAGTTCACGGAGTGCATCGACTGGACTATCACAACGACGACTTTGTGCTTTTGTCGACAGCGTCCAATTGGCGCGTTCCGCGAACTTTCAGCTCCAACTTTGTGTTTGACAAGTTTAGGGCCCCAAGGGCCTTAAACTTGTCAAACACAAAGCCGGAGCCGAAAGTTCACAGAGCGCGCTGATTGGACGTCAGCGACAAAAACGCGAAGTCATTATTGTGACTGTCCAATCGGTGTGCTCCTTCAACTTCGGCCCCAACTTTGTGTTCGACAAGTTTAGGGCCCCAGACCTCTTTGAAGCCATTCACTGTTGCTCTGCTCCGTCCGAGTCTACACGCAGATGATGCTAGAAGCGCGATCTCTGGGCCTTCAGCATCCCTGCCAAGAATGCATGCTCATGCACTGCAAGCACTGTTCAGGGCCACATACTGGCCCTTGTAGCATCGGCTCCGAACGGACATAAGCTGAAATGAAGTATAGCTGCCGTTGCCATGTGCTTTTCTGGAGTCCTGGAGTCACTTGATCTGAATAGTGAAGCAAACAGTGCTGCCATAGTGAGATAAACTCAAATGTATTTAAGTTGGCGCACCTCCCTCTTGGTTCTACTTCCACTGTTTACAAAAATCACAGTCCACATGCAGTGTCCACACGTGCTAAATCAGTCCAGCCAGCGCTCGCTCGCAATTGCGGACAGCCAGAAACTGCGGCTGTGTAACACAAAAACACAGCAATGAACGCGCCCTAATACGCTTTTATGGAATGGCGTATTGCAAGCCCGCAGCCCGTGTTTGCCTGCCCTGAGGCCCCGCGCAGAAAACTTGGGAACATAAGAAAGGCGAGCGAGCAATGAGGCGTACGACGAAGCAAGGTACAAGCTGAAAGCTATTTCCACCTTTTCGTTTACATTTACCTCTTTGCAAGTCGGTCCGTTCCATCACGCGTCACACTGTCGTGCAGTTTTGCTTTATATATTTCGTGTAATTTGTTGAAAAACGTTTCGAATAAAATGTTAATTGAAACTACCGTTCACATGCATGCCATAGTTCCTTGAGTTTTGAAAACCAGTAAGCATTCTCAAAACTCTTGTGCCGCTCCTAACTTGCTCCAAGACCTCTTTTTCGCTGCTCCCAGCCTGCTCCAAACTGCAGTTCTTTCTGCTCCCAAAATTGCTCCAAAGATGCAGTGCCCAGTTCCATCCCTGTTCATGTTCAATCCCCACCCATCCCGTTTCGACCTGGATGAGCATCGTACCGGCGTGAGGTCGTGTATCACGTGGTGCACGTTAAGACCCCAGGCTAGAGGTTGTATTGAATTTATAAATTTCTCATATACAGCCTAGAGAAAAGTCGCCTATTGAGGCTGACTAACTTCTGGCTATCTAAACACATATATAGCACAATTACTTACTTGCCGGCTGTCTGCAAAATATCCACGTCCTACAAAATATTTGGCGCCAACACAGGTTTACATCGGCGCTGTTCGCCAGTGAAATGGTCGTTCGCTAATATCACGACTTTACAACTTCGTGCCGGAACAGTAAGAATCATTCGTCACAATGATAAGGGTCTGCAGAGTAATAAATCAAACTTTACGCAATGCGATGGCAGATGGCATCGAGTTTCCCGCCCCCTCAAGAAAAAAAAAAAAAAGCGCCGGAGAAACTTACCGGAGGAGGCTTTGATGCGCGAGGCATGGCGATAATCGAAATGAAGCCGGAATAACTCTGAAATGTGCAAGAGAATAAGCACTTTTACGAACACCCCAACCGAAGAAAAAAGTGCACGTAGCACATCAGTCCGTATCCGGAATCACCATACAGTACGTACCCACTACGCGAACACGAGGAGCGGGAGAAATCCGACCACGATCCGATGGATCGGATCGGATCGGATCACTGTGGATCGGATCGACTGTAGTCAACTGCCAAAACTCACACGAATGATGATTCTTTATTCAATGATTACCCCGCAGTGCCCGAGGGCGTTACAGCAGGGGGGGTTACAAGGATGAAAAGAACACGTCTTCATTGAAACAGCACACTTGCTCTTCAGACAGCCGATTCCACTGTGCAATTGTTCGTACAAAAAAGGAGTTTGCAAACATGCATGTCCTAGCGCGGTACTCTCTAATTTTAAGACTGATCATTACGACTAGAAATATAATAGGGTTCTTTTAAGTAAGTCTCGCTATTTATTCCCGTTTTATTTTTAACTATTATACACTGGTTTACAACTATTATTATGATAATGATTTTATGAGCAAAACCGAATATTTCTTGGGCGCGTTTCGGTAGCGGGTCATTGCGCTTTTTCACGTTGCTTGCGGTTCCACTGCCAAAGTTACTGCAGAATATACAGGCAGACGTCCCGCAAAAATCGGTTTCTCAACGTATCTCGCTGCCAACGAGGTAGCTCGCTGCGATTTACTGCGGCGAAGGCGAGCATTCCAAGGATTTGCATGACCCTAGCTCATTAATCTTACCACGCTGACATCTCAACAGGTTGCGATGTAATCCTTCATATGAGTAAATCTGTTTGAAAAAATGAAAGCCGTTTAATACAACTCCCTGTAACGCCGGATTAGAGCGCAGCTCTTGAGGAGGAGGATGGAAGGGTACTGATATGTAGGCATAGAGATCGTACATACTGACATACATACTAATGGGAGCACGACCAACTCTAGTCCAACTACGGGGTGACTCAAGAAGACGCCAGGTTCTTTAAATCGACCGCAAAATTCGGTTTCTTAACCTATCGCGCTACGACTTTGAGCCGCGTTGCCCACAGATGGTGCATTTTTTTTTTTTTTTCTAAAATTTGCAAAGAGCGAACTTACCTGAGGAAAAAGTAAAGAAAGAAAAAAAGCTTAGTTAGCTCCTATGGAAACGCAGCGACGCCACCGGCCTTAAAACCATTATAATAACTCTATGCTTCAAACAACACGGTCGCTGGTACTCTAATTATCTTTAAATTATCTTTAACTTTTTTTTTTCCCTAAGATCAATGTTTGCGGTGGTGTCATAGAGTAATATAGTAAACGTAAAGAGAGGACATATGAGCCGATTCGCGGCCCAGATGGCCCAGATAGTAACGTGGCGCTTTTCTGCAATTTGGTTAAAATTAATTAAAGCTCTTTCTGTGAAAACTATTTATTTTTTAAATGGCAATGCTTCAAAAAATTATTTAAAGTACTTAAAACGACTAAATAGTTTAAATCAAATACGTCACAAAAACCACGTGATAAATGGCGCCTTCCATAGCCTTCTCGGCCTTCTTGCCTGCACGCCGTCGCCTCTGCATCATTCTGCATGGCGGCATGGCCTCTGCTCGTCCCTGCGTCGTTCGTCTGTGCCATGCCTGCCGTCCATCTGGGCTTTCTGCTGCATCATGTTCGTCCGACTTTGTATCAATCAAGGTGACGCATGACCGCCCGCGTGCTCGCATGCTCGGCGTGAATTCGTGGAGCCGATCGGTTCGAGCTTCTCGCGCTGTTTTTTCTGCCGGGCTGTCTGGCTGCACTTGAACGTGTGTGCATTTTCGATGACATTGTTTTAAAAAAAGAATTTAACTTACGACCCTGCACACGACATTGTCCATGGGTTTACAGATGACGGTGCTGAACGAACCTCTAACATTGCAGATAGAGCCTTGGTTGTTATGCTGTCTGCAATTTCCAGGAGGTGCGTTTAGCCCCTTGCATACACTGTTGTGCACACTCCAACAACGTCTTCTGTTTAACGCAGTCTCCTCATTTCTCTCATTCGGGAGCTTAAGACTGTTGGCTTCACAGTAAAGGCTGTGGTCTGTGGTTAGGGGGCTTCAAACGTAAGCTTGGTGTGTGTGTTGATAAGCCGGTTTTTGAAGTTGACAATGAACACGTTTACTTTGTCTTTGGTGTTCCGCACCTTCCCAAAAACAACCAAGAGCAATCTCCAAGCCCACAAACTTTGCATTGGAAATGAGGTCATTGAGTGGTCTTCTATTGTTGAACTTTATTGTTCTTTCCATGAGATGAGCTTGCAATTGGCTCCGAAACTTACTGAAAGACACATTTTTTTCAAGAACCTTTCTGTAACATGGAAGAAAATTGTGCCCCACAGGTACTGAGTGCCTCACTCTTTCTTGCAATCATATCCCTTGTTTATGCCAAGGAACTTCCTGAGGCAGCCATGGCTACAGCCTTTTTCTGTGATAGGATGTGCAAACTTTTCGATTGTCTAAATAGCTAAAAAATTCAAAAAGACGGGGCAGAAGTTGCGTCATGCCATTCTGAAGGGAGAATTTAAAATACTTGATTTTCTCCACCAGTAACTCGGATGGATTTCAGCATGGCAGTTCCAAAGTAGGAGGCAGCCATAAGCCATCATTGGGTGGCAAGTTACTATAAAAAGTGTCCTCATGCTCTGGGATGAGCTTTCAAGCAGCCATGACTTTAAGTTCTTACTTACACGACGCCTGCAGCAAGACACACTTGAGAACGTTTTTGGAGCTATATACGACAAATGCTGGGCTGCAACACAAACCAAAATGTGCATCAGTTCACCTCAGCACTAAAACACCTCTCGATAAAGAAACTGTTCAAACTGTCGGACAATGAAAACGTAGAGGATGACAAGGCTGGGGACCTCCTAAAGGAGTTGCAAATATCTTCGCACCGTGAAAGTTTAATTTCAGACATTGTGGAATGTCTTCCGATTGATAACTTCCCGCCACTAGAGGATGTTTCTGAGCTGGCATCAGACATCAGGTCTAACATAATTGATGACTCGTCCACTTTTTTTATTACGTTTGGGGCTATTTGATCAAGCTTTTGCTTGAACAGACAACTTACAGCTGTGGCTGTTCTCAGCTGCTATCGGATGAGTCTAATAACTTGACCAGGCCTCGCCAGTACTGTCTTGTTCCTAAAGCATACCACGTGCCTGGGAAATTCTTCGGGAACTTAGTAGTACCATTACAGGCTGCCTTTCATTTCATTCAGCAACTAGAAAATCACTTTCTTCCCGTAATAGAGAGTGTGACACATGTTCGAGGAGTGTGTGCCGCCTTGTATAGCACACTTCGAGGTCTGGGTGGTTTTAGCCTTTGCCCAGAGGAGTACCACAAAGGGTTTTTAAAATTGTTTTGCAGAATACGCTTGTGTTGACATGTTTGATTTCTTAACCGGAATTTGGACAAAGTTTGGTTGCACTCTTCAGTGGCTAGTAAGCAACGAGACAGGTTTAACTGTTAATAGTGTATTGACAGAGGCGGTTGCCAAACCAAAAACAAAAAGTGCTTATTAAGTGGGCGATGCAGCTTTCTACAAAATTTCGATAGAAAATTGTGTATAGAGGCTAAAAATATTTGAAAGAAAATGTATCCACTTTTGTATCCACTGTCCATAGTTTTTTAGCCGCTTTTTTCTGAAGCCATATTTCTTTTCTGAACAATTTCGGGGAATGTTTAGGGACGTTGAATCTTGTCAGATTTCGAATAGAGTTCTCATTGTTTGGTAATGGCTCGCCCGCAGTGAGTTTGAGGCTATGCAAATTGGAGTTTTTTTTATATTTGCCGGAAATCGGGAATTTGTACTATCCGGCGTGTGCTTCGTACTGTTATTATACTCTTATGACTGGTAATGATAGCAATGTCTTATTTATTTTTGCGCTTACTTCCCGTACCCGAGTCGGTGTGAAAGTGAATGTATCATACAACATGTTCTCCGTGGAAAGGTTTTGTTAACTTGGTTCCGCTAAGTATCTATTATGAAGTGTACGATATGCTGAAGTCCTTCATATTCATTTATTTTTGTGAGTATCAATCTCTTTCGTATAAAACATACAGAGCTTCTGAGTAAATCATGTATACATGAATGTGGTCCAATAAAATGTGTTCGAACCACTTACTGTTGTTGACCCTAAAATGCTCCACCAGTCAGGAGTCAATGCGGCGATTGTGTAACTTCAATGCTTTAAAATAGAAAAAGAACAAGAAATATATATACTCCTGCTTTGTGAAGTAAGTTGAACTATTGTTTAACACATTTTGCACGGACTCTAGCGTAAAACATAAAGCAAAAGTGCGTCAGCATTAAAAAAAAAGAAAGAAAAAAAAAAAAAAACAGCGGTTTCGGGGGTCCCGAGGGCCGAGCGAGGCGGGGAGGAAAGAGAGAGAGAGCGGTACCGGGAGAACCGAAGCAGAAACGCCCAAACCGAAACCGAAACTAACTTGACCAAAAACGGAATCAGATTATGCTTAATACCGCCCGCTAGGAGCGCTACCTGTCACTAGTATCTGGCCCGCTGGGGCTGCTGGGACCTATGACGGTGTCCGCTCTTTACCTTGTGTATATTACTCTATGGTGGTGTCTTTGCGACCTCCTTGTTACCGAAGATGTCGGCTGCAAAGAGCACTCCGAAAGATGCCCAAGTTATGGGTGCAATCTTGAAAGACATGGGGATCACCGAGTACGAACCCAGAGTCATCAACCAGATGCTCGAGTTCACGTACCGTGAGTTTTTGCGGCCGCTACACCGGCGGCCTTCGCCTCTCGTCAAACCTTCGTTTGCAAATGTCCCCAAACTCGTTGCCTTCCAGGTTACGTAACCAATATCTTGGACGATGCTAGGCTCTTCTCTGCCCACGCCAAAAAGCGGGTCGTGGACGTTGACGACGTTCGCCTGGCCATCCAGATGCAAGCGGACAAGAGCTTCACTTCACCGCCGCCCAGAGATGTGCGTTTTTCCTTTTTTTTTTTTTCCCCTTGCTTTTCGTTTTTTCCTCTGTGAAGTTATAATAGTGAGAACGAAGTGCGATCGTCGCTTTCTGTTGTGGCAGCTTTTGATGGAAATAGCGCGGCAGAAGAACAGCACCCCGCTGCCGCTGATCAAAGCCAACGCCGGTCCCAGACTGCCCCCCGACAGATACAGTTTGACAGCGTGTAACTATCGCTTCAAGTCCGCCAAGAAGGTAAGGCTTCCATAATTATTTCGGGAAACAAAAAAAAAAAATCACTTCCGTTGTGTTCTTTTTGAATGTCAAGGACACGCTGCGCCTGCGATGACGCAGCAAGCGCGTCCTGCAGAATGAGGCATAAAGTGACAGCTCACAAACTGCATTCAGCAGACAGGTATGAAGACACTGGAAGTAAGCGGCTGATCCCGGAAGTGAACGCTTGGCAGGCTTTTCAACTCTTCCGAGTGCTGGTTGAACAGGTTCAGGGCGCTAGGTTTTTTCTTGTCATCCCAAGAGAGCCTGCTTGTTGCGGAGTAACAGTGCATGAGGACCCGAGAAGTCTCCTGGAAAGCCATTCAATGTGAAAATTTTGAGAATCTAGTTTATGAAGTGTGCGTATGTCCCACATTCAAATGCCTTATTCTCAAGATTTAATCCAGAACGTGAGTATTAAAACCCAATCAAAGACACAAAAAACGCATGGACCAAAATATCGGCTGAATGCTCTAGGAAGCCCAGCACACACCCAACTTTCGGGACAAGCATCAAACTTCCGGTGGCTTCACTTGTGCCATGCTCAGAGAGCACCTAAGTGCCATCCAGCCCCCTATAGTAAAGTTCAGTGAGCTGCATAAATGAAGGTGAAGCATTTTTGGTAGGCAGCCTATCTGACCTGTCATAAAAAAGTCGGGACACTTACGCAACCCGTAAGGTGAAACACAGCGACAGCTGAGGTGTGACGTCGGAGTCGAGGTGTCATTTTTGAGCAGATAGACTAAATGAACGGTAAAGGTGCTAGCTCGTGCCATAGTGTCTGCATAGACGTTTCATATTAAAGGGATACTTAAATTAAATATTAACTATACCCATTGTGTTCAGAAATAGGCTGAATATGATCCACAATATCCATGAATGACAATCACATGTTTGTATTTTGAGCCTGATGTTTTCGTTATAAACGGCCCACTCTGGCAAGCACTATAAGAACAGCCAGCGGAGAGCACGTGACAACCGGCACATTCATGACATAGATTGTCTCGGGATGAGCAAAGCTGTGGCGAGGCTGACGTCGACAGGAAGTCGTAGTCGTTCCAGCCACCGAAGCGGTTGAAGCACGCCAGCGATAGGGCCACCGCAATAATCCCAAAGCTGCTTTTGTTTGAATTTTGAGTGAGGGGAGGTAATCTATAATCCCGTAGAAGGACAGTAGCGACATCTGGGACACACAAACGAGAGTCCCAGTGAGAGGAGAGTTCTTCCTTTCCCTCTTTTCTCTGGTGGTCGGAGAGCTGGCGAGATGACGTCAGGTTCAAGGCATGTATAGTTCTAGGCGAAACAGGCACCGTCACAACCTGTCACGGTTCCTAGAAGCACATTACAAACGAGGTTTTAGCGACAGCCACTAGGTGCTCTTTGCTAATCATTTAATTTTTTTTAAATTCCTTTTTGCATCTTTTTCAACGAGAGATTGGTGTGTCTGATATGAGACTGCTCCCTTGAACATGAATACACCAAGAAATAAGCACCGAAATTTTGCTGTAGTATCCCTTTAAACTGAGTAACATACCGGACAGTTTCATAGCATTTTGGAATCAACGAGGGTGTATTAAGTAGGGATGCCGCAAACTTTTTTCGAACCAAACTTTCGATGATCGAATCAAGCGGTTCGAAAGGTTAAAAAGATTTCGAAGTTTCTGTATCGTAAAATTCGACGGAAGTCGAATTTTCGAACTTGTTAAGCTAAGAAGTTCGACGCTTTTCGAACCGTCGAACTTATTACGCTAAAAGATTTTATCCTTTTCTAACTCATCACCATACCTCGGCATTCTCACTCATGAGTGCGATCACTCACGATCACTCACGCTCACCATCAGATTTGAGGTGATCGTGAGTGAGGCCGCGAGTCTCGAAAAATTGTGATTGTGAGTGTGAGTGTGATCGTGAGGTACGTGAACTTATGAGTGTGAGTGTGAGCGTGAGTCCTGAGAACTGATGAGCGTGAGCCTGATCGCGAGTGTGATCGCGAGTTCTGAGAACTAATGAGTGTGAGTGCGAGTGTGAGCCCTGCGAACTCATGAACGTGAGTTTGACCGTGAGTGTGATTGTTAGTTCTTAAAACTCTTGAGTGTGAGTGTGAGATTGAGCGCTAAGTGAAGTACTCATGAGTGTTAGTTTTGAGGTCTCTTGAGTGTGATTGTGAGTTTCGAGGCTCATGAGCATGAGCCTGAATCAAGACGTGAGTCTTTGGGTGGACATGAGTCCGGTGATCGCATTAGTCTGCGTGATGGCGTGAGCCTGAGGACCATGGCCAGGATGAGTCGCGGTGAGCGCTGGTATATTCATAGCTGGGTTGGTCACGTGAGCCCCCGGGCCGTCTTAGTGGGCGAGGAGACTCTCTCTTCGCAAGTACTGCGTGGGGTTCGGGCCCTCAGGGTTGGTTTCGGTGTCGCTCGCCTGCTTCTTCGCCACGTGAACGCGCCGGTTCCTGTGGAGGGCGGAGGAGGGGGGGGGGGGAGGGGGGGCGCTTGTTCTTGCAGGCTCCTCCTTGCCAGCGCCCTCCGCAATGTCTCAACCAGCTGTAGAGGGCAGAGGGGGTATGAGGGAAGGGGGGGGGGGGGGGGGGGTCGCTTTCGTCTCTCCTCGGCGTTCGCTCTTCGCTTCACGGCAGACTGCGAGACGCTAACGGACTGACGGCGCCTCGAGGCGGCGCGGTAACGTCGGAGTTGGGGAAGCGCTCCAAACGGCTAGCGCTCCTCTCTCTGTGGCATAGAAAGGTTCGTGTGGATTTCGGTTCCTGTTGTCAAGGTGGTGTCAGTGGGCACAGAATTTTATGATTGCGTCAACTATAACGTTCGCACAGCTGCAATAAAATTAAATGACTCGCATGATCCTCATCAGCACCCGGAATTTCATTTCTCCGCGCACCTCAACGTACCTTTCGCAATGAGTCATCACTCAGGAAGTGCGACAAAGGCGGTGTCATGATCGATCGAAGCTTCGAGTGAGGTCTTTCACATTGTGCGATATCATCCTTTTAAGTGTTGTTTGGGGCAAGATGGCGCAAGTGCAGGACAGCCAGCCGGCAATGGCCAGGCGGCGCCACGAGAGTGCTGCATTCGGCGCCACAAGCGGAGGGGTCTCTCGGCCAGTGGCTAGTCTGCCCGTCGGGCCGTGGCGAGCGGCGGCGAACCCGATTTCAGCAGTCCCTGTGTGCACGTGCGCGCCATGTCCCTTTTAATTTTATGCGTTTTTTTTAAGACCATCGGGAGCCTTGATAGGTCCAAGTGTTGAGAGCATAATCTGAAGCTGTCATTTGGACACCTGTTTGAACTGTCTTCGTGCGCTTGCGGCGTCGCTCTATAATAATCGCCGCCCGATCGGTCTGTGATTCGCTCGTCTCCCAGGAAGTGACACAACGCAACGAGAAGGCAGCGAATAGGTTTACTGTACTTCCCGGTTGCCCGTCTTCGAGAGCCGGCAGTCCGGACCCGCCGACCCTAGTTGTCGCCCGTCGTTCATAGCTGGCAGTCGGAGTCCGTGTCCACGCCTGCGGATCGTCCTTCCCACGCACTGCGTACGCTAGCTGTTCCGGGCTATCACAGCTAGAGTTTCGCTGCAGAACCACTCCTGGACCGTCATGGACTAGGCCGATAAGGCCAGGCTCGCCGTTTCCGCCAGTCCTGATCCGAAGCTCGCTGGTGGAACGCTCCTGGGACCGACATGGGCCGGACCAGCCAGAACGGCTCTATCGTTCCTGCCCGGCCCCAGCCTCGTGCAGCACGCTCTTCCTCTTTCCTCGCCGGCTGGGCCCCGCTCGCGCCTCGCTCGACCGTCCTCTTCTTCTCCCGGCGCTTCCACTACACTAGAATAAAATGTGGGTAATTAGAACCAAACTCTCCGTGCTAGAGAACAGTGCACAAGTCTGGCGACAGGATATGAGAAGGATATTTACGCTTCGCATGAGCTTTTCCCAGAAAAAAAGTGAGCATCCTGTTTTCCGCACGCCGTCACATTTGTTACCAGACTCAGCATTAAATTTGGTAGCCGAAACAAACAAAAATTTGTTCTACGAAAATCCACTATTTAAAAACTTGCATGCTTAAAAGGTTTTGGTTGCAACCGCGCGTGCCGAACGGCGCGCGCGGTCGCAACCAAATGCACGCCTACAACTACGAGTGCCGGGAACAGGTCGAAGGGCATCTCGCTTGAAGACCTGATCGCCTGATTCTCGACGTCAAAGCGAAGCAACAATCGGCCCAATTTTTCCTACTGTATTTCTCTAAATGAGACTCAGAGACTCGTAAAAAAACTAGTATAAATACGTTATTTTGCAAAAGGAGTCTGTCAGACCACTTTCCAAGCCTGCACATCTATTTTCGTTCACTTCAACAATTAATGTAAAATTCACTTACTTGATGCATCGCACTCCAGTAATCCACTTTGTCGCCGTGTCGCTTCCCAAGGTCTTAAAGGGAAGCGGTAAAGTCTGACGCTTGGGTCACCTGCACGACCGTGGCAGTCTTTCACGCAGCAGCAGCGGCGTTTATTTTTGGGGGAAACTCTAGGCTTAGGGGAGATGTCACAGGAACCCGGAAAGGTCATAGAGACGTGAAGTTGAGACTTAATTTTATGAAAAAACAGTTCCAAAAAGGCTCACGCCGATCCAAAATGCCACGTTCACACGTGGTTTCTAAATGCGGCCGCCCACAGTCCTCGCGACCCAGGCCGTCCTGGACTATCCAAGTTGTTTTATTTTTCAGTCGCTAGATGGCGCAACGTGTCGTGCCAACTTCCAAGCTGCATTGCTGGTTGCCCAAGGAGGTTAGTGGTTGCCTATGGGCATGTGGTTGCCTATGGGCACACTTAGCAAACTGTGGAAGCTACGACTCAGTGGGCCAATTAGAGCGTCGCATAGAGACAGGTGGCATCTAGAATGGACGCCTGTGAGACGCTGCCATATGTCTTACTCCAATAAATCTACTGGCTCATCGGGATTCGCAGAATTCGCCGTGTGC